TTGGTTTCTATACAGAAGGGAGTCTGATTTTGGACTCTCCAGCTTTAGTAAATAAACCCCTCTGTGTCACCACTCATCCACAAGAGTGACCGAAATGAAATGTGTAGGAGTACAGACACAGCATGCCTTCCCCTTTAGATGTGTGCAGGCAACATCCTCTGCCTGCTCTTAAAGTAGAACTGTGGCCAGGCTATGGACATTCAGACTAGATTTACTCTGTTGCATGTGTATTCTATGCAAATGGTAATGCTCACCTGTAGCGGCGAAAGAGCCCATTGAATTTCTCTTCGTTGTTCACACAAAATACAGTGCATAGATGTGAACCAACCACACAGGAAAGAATGGGATTTATACCTGACATGCATTTCATACAGCAAAATGCAAGAGTGTACATATTGTTAGCAAGCAGTAATTAAGTTTTAAAACAAGCCATCACTGACCTCTGTAGCTGCAGACATCATGGAACAATTTATACTCAGTTTACAGCTGGTGTCTGCTGCTGTTAGAATACAATGCCATCCATCCACTTTCCAGCTTTTAGCCCTATGGCTGAATGAAACAATCTACTCACATATAGACAGCCTTAGCAGCTCAACTCTCCTGGTTTCCCCCTCCCAGTCCTTAGTTGTCACCCTTCTTATCTCTAATGTAACTCTAGGGTCCCTTTCACGCTGGTCGACCGATTGGGTTTGCCTGTCCATCTTTCAGGCAGACCCGATCAGACCATCCATTGCCCTCTATGGAGTGGTGGATCTAAATGGACATGTGTTTGTTCACACCTGCCTGCATCCGATCCACTAAAAACAGGCGGATGGTGATCTGCTCCCTATCCGTCTAGAGCAGGGGTGGGCAAACTATTTGACTTGAGGGCCGCAATGGGTTCATATATTGGACCCGGGGGCCGGACCAAGAGTAGATGAATGATGTGTATGTGTCATCCATAGAAAGTATAGTAATATTCCCCCATAGTAAGCATAGTAATTAATCCCCCATATAGTAATTCATCCCCCCTATAGTAATTCATCCCCCCTATAGTAATTCATCCCCCCTATAGTAATTCATCCCCCATATAGTAATTCATCCCCCATATAGTAATTCATCCCCCCTATAGTAATTCATCCCCCATATAGTAATTCATCCCCCATATTAAGTCCCCCATATAGTAATTCATCCCCCCATAGTAATTCATCCCCCATATTAAGTCCCCCCTGTGTCAATTCACTTACCTTTGCTCCGCGCGTTCTTCTCGCCGTGTTCCCGCGCCGTTCCGGTCTTCAGGGCGGACTGTGAGAGGAGCCTAGCTCCCCTCACGTTCGTCACGCTGCCCCGCCTACACACATCCTGACAGCCGTCCTGACAGTATCATGCTCCGCGGGCCGGATTAAAAAGGTCTGCCGGGCCGTAGTTTGCCCATTGCTGGTCTAGAGGGTCGAGTCAGTTTACGTCCAATTGCCCATAAAGGAAAGCTTATGCAGAGCGGACACAGACCTGTCATCCGACTGCTCAGCGGGGATCAGCAGACAGATCCCCCCACTGAGCTGGCGTAGTCCACCCATGTGAAAGGGGCCTAATGTACACTGAGTAAAGCGCACAGAAAGAGGAGAGCTCAGATGTGACTTCAGTGAACTTTCAGGAACCCCACAGTACCTAAAACTACAGAGGTGAGTGAGAGATTGTTTTTAAAGCTCATTTTGCATATTAAGAATATGTAAACACTTGAATGTCCTTAGCTTGGCCACAGTTTTGTCTTTTGTTTATACCTTCAGAGCCAGTTCACACCAGAATACGGTGTAGGAACATACCGTGTTCAAAATACACTGCACTTGCGATCTGCGGCGGGTGTCAGTTTTAATGACACCCCAAACACAGGTCACAAACGCAGTGTGTTTGCCTGCATCGGATCGCATGGTATCGTAGTACCATGCAATCCAGTTGCTGGTGCATGCACTACTTTTGGTGCAGTCTGGCACAATTTCAGCCTATTCAAATCAATAGACTGAAATCACACTACACCTGAATCACATATGAATCAGATAGGAATGCACAGTGTTCATGTGCAATTCATGATGTGAATCGGCCCTAAAGCCATGCTCTGGTTGTATCCGACTTAGTGTGCTTCTGTACAGGAGCTGATCCACATTTCATATAGTTGTGTAAGACACTCCCTACAATTAGGATCCTCCCCCCCCCCAACCCCTGCCTTCACCACTTGTATTGGGACAATCATTAACCTAGTAGGCCAGAAAAGAAAAATGAGATTCTCCCATTATCTAATGTGTTTCCATATTTACAGACTTGCCCACCAATGGCTTCAGTGGCAGCAACCAGCAGGTGAAAAAAAGTTTTTTAATTTACCGCACTGACTGCAATCTTCCCCGGAGCAGCTCCGACTCCGAGTCCAGCAGCACCAGCAGCAGCAGTGCTGCATCAGACAGAACCAGGTAAGATTACTGAACCTAAACAGAAGTGGCAAACAAATTGAGCAAGTGATGAGTAATGAGACCGAAAGTGGCGAGTGTCCTCCTTGTGAAGGTTCCTGACTACGCACAGGCCCCTTGTTCTCTTATTCACAATATTTGGCCAAAAGGATGTAGACACCTGACCACCTATAATATTATTATTATACAGGATTTGTATAGTGCCAACAGTTTGCTCAGCGCTTTACAATATAACGGGAGACAATACAGCAACAATACAGTTCAATACAAGAGGGATAGGAGGGCCTGATCCTGGGAGCTTACAATCTAAGAGGGAGGGGCTAGTGGTATAAAAGGTAGTAACTGTGGGGAATGAACCGGTAGGAGGAGTAGAAGATTCCATTATTAGCTGAGGGCAGGATAGGCTTCCCTGAAGAGATAGGTTTTCAGAGATTGCCTAAAAGTAAGCAGAGTAGGTGATAGTCTGATAAATTGGGCTAGAGAGTTCAAGAGGATGGGGGAAGCTCTGCAGAAGTCCTGGAGACGAGCATGGGAGGAGGAGACAAGGGATAACCAACAAGACTATATGAGCTTGTTGGTCATCCCATTCCATCCCCCCACTCCCCTTTTCTATGCAGTTATAGCAGCATCCACCTTTGTTTTCCACAAGATTGTACAGTGTGGTTTTAGGAACTTGTGCCCTTTCATCCAAAACAATATTTGTAAGATCAGGTACTGATGACTAATTGGAAAATCTGGCGTATAATCTGTATTCCAATTAATCCTAAAGGTGCTTGCTAGGGTTAAGGTCATAGCTCTGTGTAGGCCACTTGAGTTCCTCCACACCAGACTTTTAAGAGTCCCCGTTGTCAGACCATTTCAACAGAAGACTTCCCATAAGGTTATATGTGCATTCAACACATTGCATGATATTTACATATAAAAGCCTCCCTTGAGTAGACATTCAAAAGCCCTGAGACTGAAACAAAGCATTCTCCTTTTTTTTCTTCCTTGACAGCGCATAAAAGGTTATAAAGGGAGGGGTGAAGTAGATTTGCCAGCACAGAAAATAGTTAAGAGGGCTATACCATGCAGGGAGAAGGGAGGGGGCTGTACTAGGGGATTGACTCTTCATAGAATAGGTCAATTTTCTAGCACTCTCAAAGGCACATAGCAAGTGAATAAAAATAATTAATGGAATGGAAAACCCTGCAAATAAGCATTTAAAATGCTTGATTTGTTGTGCTTTTACCTGTAATTTGCTAGGTCTCGGCCAGGATCTCTTTAATCCATGTCTCTGTACACTGGGACACTGTCATACTGGAACAGAGAAGGTCCTTCCCCAAACTGTCACAAGGGTAGAGGTGCACAATTGTCTAACATGTATGCTAACATGTATTGGAAACATCTGAACTCCATAAAGTAGAGCAGGGGTCTCCAAACTGTGGCCTGTATGGCGGATGCAGCCCTTTGCTGGCCTTTTATCTATTTTTTGGGGCACTGTTCCTTCCACTGACACCAACCATGGGGTACTAATCCTCCCACTGACACCAGAGAAGGGGAATTAATTTTTGCACTGACACCAATGATAGGGCACTATTCCTCCCACTGACACCAATGCCTATGGCATTGTGTACCCCCACTGGCCGCAGTCTAGCCCCCCTAAAGTTTGAAGGGTAGTAAACTGGATCTTTGTTTCCAAAGTTTGGAGACCCCCTGATGTAGAGGGGGGATGTACATACTTTTGGACACTTAGAACTGTCAAGTCAGAAGCAGAGAGCTAATACGTGTGTGTTTGCAATATGTTTCCCTCATCCATACTTGTATTATCGATTTTTCAGAATCCCTTATCATTAAAGTGTTATTAAACCCACAACAGTAAAATCAGTCTGTATATGTAGTAAAGCATGTTTGTTACTCACTGTGGAACATAAGGGGTTAATCATCTGCACTGTGTAAAAATGCAGTTTGATCCTGTCTTCTCTGATCCTCCCCTTTTTCCAGTGTCTCCCTCTTGTCTTCTGATGAGACATATCGTGTGGAGTCACTCTGCACTTGCTCAGTTTGGTGTGTATTGCTAGAGAGGTTTTTTTTTTTCTTGGGAGACTGCATGTGATCAGCACAGGGCCAATCAGCACTGTCCAGACAGAGGTCAGGGGTCCTGCATCTTCCTAGAGCAGAATGAATACTCCTCCTACAAGCTTTAACCAGTGCTCAGCTGGACACTGATATAAGTCACAAGACTGCTCTAACTGCTGATGAGAAAACGTATTTAGCAGTTTATAGTTACTAAATATAATTGCAGTTCCACTTTCTGTGTATTGTGGGAGACCAGATATAGTGAATGCAGGGTCCAGGGAGACCAGATATAGTGAATGCAGGGTCTAGGGAGACCAGATGTAGTGAATGCAGGGTCCAGGGAGACCGGATGTAGTGAATGCAGGGTCCGGGGGGAATGCAGGGTCCGGGGAGACCGGATGTAGTGAATGCAGGGTCCGGGGGGGACCGGATGTAGTGAATGCAGGGTCCGGGGGGGATGTAGTGAATGCAGGGTCCGGGGGGACCGATGTAGTGAATGCAGGGTCCGGGGGGACCGGATGTAGTGAATGCAGGGTGACCGGATGTAGTGAATGCAGGGTCCAGGGGGGGACCGGATGTAGTGAATGCAGGGTCCGGGGGGACCGGATGTAGTGAATGCAGGGTCCGGGGGGACCGGATGTAGTGAATGCAGGGTCCGGGGGGACCGGATGTAGTGAATGCAGGGTCCGGGGGGACCGGATGTAGTGAATGCAGGGTCCGGGGGGACCGGATTTATGTAGTGAATGCAGGGTCCGGGGGGACCGGATATAGTGAATGCAGGGTCCGGGGGGACCGGTTTAGTGAATGCAGGGTCCGGGGGGGACCGGATATAGTGAATGCCGGGTCCGGGGAGACCGGATATAGTGAATGCCGGGTCCGGGGAGACCAGATATAGTGAATGCCGGGTCCGGGGAGACCAGATATAGTGAATGCAGGGTCCGGGGAGACCGGATATAGTGAATGCAGGGTCCGGGGAAGAGGGTCCGGGGGATGTAGTGAATGCAGGGTCCGGGGAGACAGATATAGTGAATGCAGGGTGATATAGTGAATGCAGGGTCCGGGGAGACCAGATATAGTGAATGCAGGGTCCGGGGAGACCAGATATAGTGAATGCAGGGTCCGGGGTTTAGTAACACTTTAAGACTAATTTCAGCATTAATAAATCACTTATTTTTTAACAAAATATCCTCTTTGCTACCTTGATCAAAATGTTCTTTCTCATGTGTCCTAAAGTTTAGGCAACCTAGGTCAAATGGCCTCTTTACTAAAATATAGAACATAGCCTCAATATGCTACTAATATACTGTAGCTGCCCTATATTATAATGTAATTACAAATTTAACTTAGAAATAAGGTTTTTAAATGATTAATACACGTTGATTAGATATTTTTTTCAATTATCTGATCAGAATTCACGTGTATATATAAAAATACTGTAGTTCGCATAGTTAACTACGTGCATGTTTTGGCTGTGGTTGATGACAAACTTTTCCCCAAAAATGTAATCTGTGGCTTTTGATAATACGACAGTCAGCTATTTAATTTTCTTCTTACTAATATTTTATGATGATCATTGGTCTTTCTCACCTGAGCTTTAAAGAATAAGTACTCCCATTAGCCCAATTAAATTCCTTTGCATATCAAGCAAATTTGCCAAATTTTGGATCAGATAAAGTGATGAGAATCTGTGTCAGATTTTTTTTTTGCTGTGTCCTCATTGGAAAGATTCACCCTCTATATTTTTCCTGGTGACCACTGGCACCGAAAGTGATTGATTGAAAATCCAAATTCCTTAGGATATAAAGTAAAAAGGCCAGGTTCGATTGGTGGCATTAGGCAACACACTGGGGTTTATTTACTAAAGCTGGAGAGTGAAAAATCTGGCTCACTTCTGCATAGAAACCAATCAGCTTCTAAACTCAGCTTGTTCAATTAACCACCCTGGCGGTATTCCTGAGTGTAGCTCGGGGTAAAGTTTCAGCACCACAAGCGGTAACCCCGAGCTACACTCAGGAATACCATGCGGCGCTGCTCTGGGATACCTTCTTCGCTTACCTTGTCCTGCGCTCCCGCGATGTTCATCCTGCAGCATCCCCGGCAATGTCCTCCAGCCGATGCCGGCATCTGTCTTCCGGGTTCCGTTCCCTGCGAGTGTTGAGACGTACAGGGGACGGAACCGGCGGGAAATTTAAAAATGTCAAAAAGTGACATTCACTAGATACACTAAAATCACATAGTATAACATTACTGTATCAAACCATTTCACATACATTTTGTCCCGAGTGCTTTGTCCGGCGCCCTGCCTGCATTTTTACTGTTCTTTCTGCCTGGAAACTGAGAAATGTCCATGGCGTCCAAAAAGCGTCCCTTTAGGTCAAAATTGGTTTTAGACCGGCTAGAGAACAGCGATAGTAAATAGAACCACTTGCAGAATTGAGTGCTAATGATTCGTGGGGAAATTCATCATCAGACACTGAAAACAATTTCTGCGACTTTGCTCAGTGATGTGCAAACTTGGTGCTATATTTCAAATTTCAGTGTTTTTGGTTTGATTATATTATTGAATTACATTTATTTTTATTATAATATTACTTTTTATTAAATTATAATTTATGATTTTGTGCTTCAAATTTTAACATACCCGGGATGTTTACTAGACTCTTGTTTGGACAGATTTCAGTAAATTATTCCTAAAAATTACAGGCCTACATTAAAAACAACTACATATTTCCATGCAAAAAAATGTACAGCTTTGAGCACAGAAATACTGACATAATCAGACTGCTAGGGAGGCTACGCTTTGACAATACAACCTGCATGCTGATTGGTTTCTATGCAGATGTGAGCCTGATTTTGCACTCTCCAGCTTTAGTAAATGAACCCCATTGTTCCTTTCTTACAGTCTTAATCTGTGTGAGACCTATTATGTTTTTTTATTTACATCCATTTACCCATTTAACTAAGAGATTTATTGCAAGAATTTTAATACATTTTCTTTCGGATTGCTGTTTTTTTTCTGTTTTGTGGAAATTTCTGTTTGTTTAACCATGTCCAGACTGATTTCTGAAAGGGAGGGACTCTGTACAGTATAACTACCTGAGCAAAGATCAGTGTTCCAATGAGAAAAGCTGGAGGTGTCCGCAAATCTTTCATACACAAGTCTTAGGGCTTTTTCACACTGTGCGGTGAATGGTGTTTTTTCCACACTGTAAAAACATCATTAGCTACAAGTGCTCTGTTCACACCACAATGCTCTGGCATGTTTTATTTTTCTACAGAGCACTGGACGCCACCAAGTCACCCCGCCGTTGTGCGGAAACCTGAATGAAGTGTCTGTATGTGACACTTCAAAAATGGTTTTAAAAGAAAGAAGTAAACAGTGGGATGCCCTGAAACTTGCATCACACTGCCCTCTCACAGCAGGGCAAAACTGACAGCTGCCTGCTTTTTAGCATGTGTGAACTAGCCTTTGTGGAGTATCTTTCCAAAAATGGAGTTCCTCTTGCAAGGAATACTTAAAGCGGAGCTCCACTCAAAAGAGGAAGTTCCACTTTAAGCTTTTGTTCCCCCCTCCTCATTAAGGATAGGCACCTTTGGGGGGGGAATGGGTACCCTAATTTGACAGGTACCCACTTCCGCTGCGATCGCCTAGGTTATTATTATTATACAGTATTTATAAAGCGTCAGTAGTTCGCTCAGCGCTGTACATTACAAAGGGGGACAGAACATGTGACAGAACAATACCAATACAATGCAAAACATGAGGGGATCGAGGGCCCTGCTCTTTTGAGCTTACAATCTAGGAGGGAGGGGATGGTGGCACAGGAGGAGATCGCTGTGGGGGATGGGGTGGTGATCGAAAGTGGAAATTGTCCACCCCCCTCCCTCCACGTAGTCTTCTGGGACACGTGACCAGACCTAGAAGACGACGGGGCCATTCACAAAATGCAGCACTTCTTGCGCATGCGCAGTGGGCAGCCGGCTGTGAAGATGCAAGCTAACACAGGTGCCCACACTGAAGATGCCGTTGAAACCAGTTGTGGTGAGGAAACCGCTGGACCGAGGGACAGGTAAGTGTCTGTATTTTCAGCAGCTACAGTTTTTGTAGCTGCTGACTTTTATTTAATTTTTTTTTCCCTCTGCTTTAAGTTTTACCTGTACCTAATTGCAGACTTTTGAGAAAATCAATGAACCAATCCCAAAAGCAGAAAATGACAACTCTGGGGGCATTCTGTACACCAGTGCTGTACAGAACACCTCTAGGTTGTCATATTGCATTGAATTTTTTTTTTACAGTTTTAGAAAATTAGAGTGGCTGCAGATTGAAATGGAAAAATCGTTTTTTATAACAATAAATTACAAAGTGGCTTGTGTAGCAATTTTATATTGTTTTTTATTTTTTTTTTTTTACTAAAGTGATTTTTTTTTCTCTTTAAGTCAATTACATTTTTTCTGTTTGCAGCACAACACCTTCTAAACAGGGACGGGGAAAACCATCCTTCTCAAGAGAGAATTACCACGACTACAGCAGTGAAGACACATCAGGAACTGAAAATGAGTCCTATTCCTTGGGAGGTCGAGTAGGACATGGCTGTAAGTACCTCCTTTCTGGACAGTGCAGATTGGGATAGCCATACTTTCTTAAATCCTTATTTCCTTTTTTAGCTTTTAAGGTGTCAGAAATATTTTACTCATGGCAAATAAACTCAGTTTAAATTAAAATTTATCAAAAACGCTTGGCCCACCCAGTCTGTTCCGTTTTATTAAAGTTTTTTTTTTCAGTTGGTAAATGTGGATAGAATAGTCCAGGTATTTTATAGTGCACACGCCACATACATGTTACACCTTTTTGACCAACACTGTTATGAACTGCTTCTGACCCGATGTATGAAAAAGGTGATTTTGTGCTCTTGCTTTAGTCTTATCATATTGAGTAAAATGCCGGCTTCTTATATATCTTCGGGACTTTAGTGACCAGATATTCCCAGCTGCCACAGGCATTACAGCACCAAATGTTGGTGTCACTTTCTCTCAGTGAATTCCTCAGAAAAGTAGAGTAAATAAGCAATAAGGAGTCTAACTTTGAGAAAGTGACATGTTAGAGCTAACCTAGCTGGAGGTGATGTACATACAAAACAACTGTTGGGAATTCTCTGGGAGTTTTATATAGGCAGTCTATCCACGGAAAAGTGAGAGTCTACAGATAGACCCCCTCCCATCATCACCACCACCAAGATAGCCACACCTGAACACATGGGGGCTAGAAATGTTATCTACCCAAGAAAACTCTTGACACCAGTGCTTACTCAGGGCATACCCAACGGTGGGGAGAGAGCCTGGGATCCATGAGCACAAGTTGCTTTCAGGTAACTGTTTCTCTTTAACCTCCTTGGCGGTATTCCCGAGTGTAGCTCGGGTAACATTTCAGTACCAAGAGCGGTAACCCCGAGCTACACTCGGGAATACCATGCGGCACTGCTCCGGCATTTGTTCTTCACTTACCTTACCCTGCACTCCCGCGATGTGTCCCCTGCAGCGTCCCCGGCCATCTCCTCTGGCAGATGCCGGCATCCGGCTTCTGTGTCCTGTCCCTGTGACGTCGGGACGTACGGGCGCCGCTGGTGGCGGGAAATTTAAAAAAAGTCTTTTTTTTTTTTTTTTTTACATTTTACATAGTAAAACATTGCTGTCTCAACCCATTTCACATACATCTTTTCCCTAATGCTTTGTCCTGCACCCTGCCTGCATTTTGTCTGTTCTTTCTGCCCGGAAACTGAGAAACGTCCATGGCGTCCAAAAAGTGTCCCTTTAGGTCAAAAGCGGTTTTAGATCAGCTAGGAGAACAGCGATAGTAAATCAGAATTGAGTGATAATGATTTGTGGGCAAAAATCGTCATCAGACACTGAAAACGATTTTGCGACTTTCCTCAGCAATGTGCTAACTTGGCGCTATATTTCACATTTCAGTGTTTTTGGTTTGATTATATTATTGAATTAAATGTATTATTATTATATTATTATTTTTTATGATTATTTATTAAATTATAATTTATGATTACGTGTTTCAAATTTTATCCTACCCGGGATGTTTACTAGACTCTTGTTTGGACAGATTTCAGTGAGTT